ACTTATATTACATATTGTAAAAAGGGGCATAATATGTCTCCTTTAAGAGTCACACTTTTGAGTTGCATTTTAATTCAAATTGACTTACAGACAACTTATGAATGGTTAATTCACCCTGAAATAACAAGATTATCTTGCTTTAGGCCACAATGGGGCTAGTTACCAGCACAGAACTGAAAATTGACTTGCTCAAATATCAAATTGCCATCAAAGCTTGGGTTTGTGTATGAATCTGACCAGAGAACCATACATTTGGGTCATCTACATGAAAGGGTAAAGACTGAATTGTTGGCCTGCACAGTGATGTGTAATAATTGATGGATTGCCCATGTGACTTAAGTCCTGGTGTTCTTGCGCATTGTATGTGTTTATCCAGCACTTTACTGACAAGAATGTTGTCTGATGAATTAGCTGACATCACAGCACTTGTCTGTTTTCGGCTCAAGATAAACGTGCAACCCCCCTCACATGGATGTTTGTCAGCTTCAGGCACAACTTGGATGAATGTTGTAACTTGTAATTTTGGTGGAATGTAGATGCCACTGATCATTTTCATGCATTTTAGCTAGGCCTTTTTGTTTTTGACTGTTAAAACAAAAAAATATTTGCTGTTTGTCTCAATAAATTGGGTTCATTTAAAAATACAGTGGTTAAATAAATAAAAAAATTATATTGCTCTTTGTTTTACAAAAGGTTATAAAAAATGTCAATAATTATCGATACCGAACGATATGAAACATTATATCGTTGATACATTTTTTAGCTATATCGCCCAGCCCTAATTTTAGCCAAACAGACCTGAAGGTAGATCAGAAGGGTATTAGTAATGCGTCATATTCAACAACATCTAAGGAACATGTTTGCACGCATCTACAGGAGCCAGTTTGCTCAAAGGCTTCTGCTTGTTTTGTTTCTTTTTCAGATTTTGAGATGAAGAAGGACATTGATACTCTAATAGCTGAAGAACGGGCTGAGATCATCAAAAAATATGAGAAGGCAAGTTACATCCTTTCAGTTGTATACCTTCAGACTTTTTATAATTGTTGACCTAAGTTTTGAACTTTGACTGGTTGAGCCGATGTTCAGACAAGGGGAAACTGGTTAATGATTGTCCATGACCCTCAGCGACATGGACAGAAATGCATATTGGCAACGTAGCCCAAGTAAAGTAGTAGCCTAAGTGGTCATTAAGCAGATGCCTTTGCAGTACACACATGATGCAGTACACCAAGATTTGGGTATGCCAGTGCTTGGAGTAGCCAAAGTTTAAGTGTCTTGCTCAAGGGAATGATTGTGAAAGCTCATGAATCAACTATCCCAGATATTTTACCACTAGACTACAAAAGTTGCTGCAGTTTGCTGTTCTTCGCAAGGAACAACTTTCTTTAGAAATGCTGCACACAACTGATGTGAGACAAGTTATTAAAATGCTGATGTTATAATTTGTAGGTAAACGTAGTTGTGGTTCATATTGTGGTAATTTTTTGGATAGATTGTGGCTGAGTCTGCCTTGCTGTCATGACTTCACAGACAGCGGTTTTGTTTAAAGGTACCACCTATGGAAAATTCCAGACAAGCTTCAGAGGCATAAAAAAATCACATCTAATGATCTAAAACAGGGGTCTCCAATCCTGCTCCTGGAGGGTCCGTCCGTATCCTGCAGAGTGTAGCTCCAACCAGCTCCAACACACTTACCTGGAAGTGTCTAATGAGTCTGAAGACCTTGATTAGCTGGTTCAAGTGAATTTAATTAGGGTTGGAGCAAGAGAGTGGCCCTCCAGGAACTAGATTGGATGGCCTTCATCTGAAACTAATTCAAATTAGATTTAGATAAGACCAAGTTCAAATGAGCTTCTGATAAAACCAAAAATATCTTGAGACTACAGTGTGTGTTACTCTGTATTAGTTTCTTCTGCTCTTAATTGCTCCATCAGATGCCATTTTATTGTGTAAACTGCACACACAGGGTTGCGGGATATCATGGGCACTGAAGGTACATCTGTGCTGCACACTATAAATTTCAGTATGTTAACGTTACTTGGAAAAAAATCTTGCAAACTTATTGTCTCAGAAAAATCTAGTTTAGGTTGCTCAGTATATTAAAATGTACTCAGAAGCCAATTTATGAAAACTTGAATATACCAAACCTTAACTAGATTTTTCTGAGGCAATAGGTTTGCAAGATTTAAAGTAAAGTTAACAAATTGAAATTTACAGTGCATTCACAAAAAACTTGCCAGATCTTAGTACAGCGGTTCTCAAACCTCTCCTTGAAGTACCCCCAGCACTGCACATTTTGTATGTCTCCCTATATCTGACACACCCACTTCAGGTCATGCAGTCTCCACTAATGAGCTGATGAGTTGAATCAGGTGTGACAGTTGAGGGAGACATACAAAATGTGCAGGGCTGGGGGTACTCCAGGACAGGTTTGAGATTGAGAACCACTGTCTTAGTAGACAGGATTTTATGTGAAAATTGGACCCCGGACAATCCTTTGTGCCTTCATACTTCCATATACAGCTTACAAAACCAGCAAGTTCTAGCTTTCGGACACAGCCAAAATCTTTTAAGGAGGAAGTTTTTTGATGGACAACAGCTGGATGTCATGCTAACATTGCTGCTACACTCAAAAATTGACTATGTGTCTGCATACTTGGAAATTCTCTGCGTACTTCAGATACCTTTAGATAAGGCTGTGGAGCTTAGACAGATGTTCAGGATAGACAGAAATATATTCAGTTAGCAGAAATTGTGAATTCTGGGGGTTTCTTGTATCATCCCTATTTATTTTAGTGACCTGGATTGTTCTAAAAAAGAAGTGGGGTGTTTTCACATGTTTTTCTTGCCTTTTCCTTTAAAGGAATAGTTTGCCCAAAAATGAACATTTGCTGATACTCACCCTCAGGCCATCCAAGATGTAGATGAGTTTGTTTCTTCATCATATTTGGAGAAATGTATCATTACATCACTTGTTCACCAATGGATCCTCTGCAGTGAATGGGTGCCGTCAGAATAAGAGTCCAAACAGCTTTATAAACATCACAATAATCCACAAGTAATCCACACCACTCCAGACCATCAATTAGAGAGAACTTGCATGTTTAGAAGAAGCAAATCCATCATTAAGTCATCTTAACTTTAAACTGTCACTTCTGGCTAGTGAAAAAGTAAAAAAAATCCACCGACATATTTGTTTTGAACTGTTTTAACTGAATAATATGTTCATTTTTGGTGACCTATTCCTTTAAGTCATGTTTTTATTTGAGTTCCAGTCATCTATTGGTTTGAGGGTCTGTTGCCTTTGCTCCAGTTTCTCAGTTTGTTTGTTGGGCCGGTTGCAGGGCAGGCATGAGGGTGTGCACATTAACCCCTGGGAGGATGCCGACTACAGCATCTACAAGGTCACAGACCGCTTCGGTTTCCTGCAGTAAGTCTCGTCTGTCCTGGCAGTTTTAACACTAATGACCTCTGTCTTCAGTTGAAGATGTTAAACGCTCAACTGAACTATGTTGTTATGAAGAATATGACTTTTTATGTTTGTTTTGGTCAATAGTTGATTGTTACCGCTAGAACAGTGTTGTCAGGAATGTTTTTCATAAATCCACAGTAAAATCTTAGTTGTTATTTGAATGAAGCTTCTGACATTTAATACTTCTACAGATTAAACAACCATTTCCCCTTTGTAATTTGTTTTTCCAGTGAAGAGGAACTGCCAACACCAACCGCGGTGGAGGAGAAGGTGACATTATATCATATGATATCAGCTTTCTTTGCACCTGCAATCACTATTAAATCTTTTGTGGCAAAATTCAGTTTAGATAAGTTAATCCATTGAATTAAGGTGTTCTTGATGAATGGCTTCTTTGTTTTACGTACATTTTGGATTCAAGACTAAAATTCAGTATGTTATTTCCCTAGTACAAACTCCAGGAGGTTGAAAGAGAGGAAAAATGGGTTAAGATGGTGAAAAAGTGGGACAAGTACTGCAACGGTGAAAAGGTAACTAATAAATTTGATAGTTCCTTAGAGCTTTAATTGGATGAGACACATTTGAAGCCATTGTAAAATAGTTAGGCTGATTAACTATATTAAGAATTGTATATAATGCCTCTTTTGGAAGGCCAAACAAAGTAGTTTCGCTTTCACAACGAGAGCAGAGGCTGGAGGGCTAGAGTGAGCAGAGGCAGCGAACTCCAAAGAGAAAGGAAAAATTGAAATCGCATCATATGACCCCTTTAATATATTGAGTAATTGAGCATTGTAGTCTCTTATCTCATTGCTGTTGCTGCCATTATAGTCACATAATATGCCACTCAAGGCTGCTGTGTGTTATAGTGAAATTTAGACCCACACATCCGGAAGCTTAAAGGTGCTGTATGTAGGATTGACACCGAGTGGTTGAACTGCCGAAATACAATTGGGTAAATTGGCAGTGGGCGGGTTTCACAAACCAAAACAGTGACCGACATTCCTGCCCGGAACGCACATTTTCAAAGGAGAATAACTGACTGTAGCATTGTTTTTCAGATAAACAAATATGTTAACTTTGCATGTTTCTTAAATATCTGCAAACATATTATGGTATTTTTATGCTTTAGTAGAGTCAAAAACTTACATACAGCACCTTTAAAGACCCAAAAATAAATCTCGCCATCTGTTTGTTTCCTCTTCCCATGTGCATTTTGCAGATGATGAAGCGGGTATACAAGGGGATTCCCTTGAAGCTGCGCGGTCAAGCCTGGGCTCTGCTGCTGGATGTGGAAAAGGTGAAAGAGGCAAATTACAGGAAGTACGAGGTAGGAGCTTTGCAGGAATCATATTTGTGAGATGTGTTTGGGCTCCACTTGGTCCTTTGAATGAAAAGTGGCTGTTTGATGTGCATTCATTCAATGACTCGCTTGTTTGGGTTTTGTTTTGTCCTGTGTGATTGTTTGGGTTTAAATTAGCCAGACGTGTTTTGTCTCCAATCTGCCCTCTTGGCACAACAATGTTTTATTTCATAACAAAGGTTTCTGGTTTGCATGCTTTGTGTAGTGTGACGATTATTACATAAGTTCCAAGGTATTATATGAAAAATACAAGAAAAGAAAACAGAATAACCTGCAAAGTAGACCAGACTTTATGCCACAAACCAAAAGTCTGGTTACCTGAGAAATGGTATACACTACGTTCAAGGACACATTGAATTTATCAAAAATGACAAGACATTTATCATATTACAAAAGATTTTTTTATTTCAAATAAATGCTGGTTTATGAACTTTCTATTCATCAAAGAATCCTGAAAAAACGTTTCCACAGAAATGTTGATAATTGATAATCAGAAGTATTTCTTGAGCAGCAAATCAGCATATTAGAATGATTTCTGAAGGATCATGTGATGTGCCATGGTACCAATACTTATTTTTGTTTTCAGTCATTTCAGAATCTTTAGAGCTCAAGAGTTGTATTTATAACTGAACGTGTATCTATATCTGAATTTCTAAATATATCTGGGTGCTGCTGTAATATTTATAACTGGTTTGCTGCTCTGACGAATGTGAATAGCAGACGTGTCGTTGCCTGGGTTGCGTACGTATATGTGGGGCGGAGCTATCAGAATAGGGGCAAGACCCTTTTGGGGTAGGGGCGTGTTTGTTTTGGTGATTTCAAATATCAACATTGGCTACCAGAAATCACTTACTCTGCCTTTAAATGGAAACCAGTGTCTTTGGTTTTTGTATGAAAATTTAGATGCCGGTTTGCAGCCATGGTTTAGGTGTACTGTAGTGTAGGTAACAGTGTGCACTGCAGTCATCTGCTAATTTTCTAAATATATAAAAGCTGAAATAACCAATATTGTATGTATTATTTTTCCTGTGGAAAGCTGATGCAGCTCTTTCTGTTCAACAATAGTTTATAGTGACAATGTTTAAAAACTTTCTCCTATAAGCTTAATATGCATAGATAACCATTGGTAAGCCATTTGTAGGTTAACTTTCTGAGTATATTGCTCTGAGGACCTTTACTCCGTTTGCTTGCGCATCAGTTTGGGGTGGGACTATCTGTTTGTCTGACCAATAGCAGATGCGGGCAGTTTTTGTGAAACCTTTTTGAAAAAAATATTATTTTTGCAATTCTGTTTGGTGCTGCTAGCGCTAAAATTTAGCATTTAACTTTGAGTTTTGGTTTTACTTTAGTTTTGGATATGCTGTAGTTTCCAAAAAATATAACAGTTATTGCCAACTTTTTTGTTTTCATGTTGTTGCAGAAAATGAAGGAACAAGCCAAGAAGTATTCGACAGAAATTAAGCAGATTGATCTTGATGTCAACAGGACCTTTAGAAACCATATCATGTTCATGGATCGCTTTGGGGTCAAGTAAGAAAGATATTGCTTGAATTCATACACATACACACACACTCAAGAAAGTCTTTCTTCATTTCACTCAAGGTCTGTTTGGCATTGTGCTTTTCAGTTGAGATGCTCAGACTACTTCCTCTTTGTTACTGCGTTTTTGTTCAACTTCCTGTTACTGTGAGCGGCCTCACAGGAAATGATACAACCGGTGACTCATTACCATCATCCCCAGAATAAATATATACTTTGATGCTGTCCATAACAACTAAAGTTCTGCCACAGTGTCACGAAAAAAATAAAAAGATTTCCTTTCGTACCAGACAATCATAAAGACCCACTTGGGATTGAATATCCTCTTGAAAATGGACAGTCATCAAAAACATTATTTTCTTCTGTTTTTAAACCCCAAATTTGACAGCCAATGAGTGTATCATGAATTTTTAACAAAACGTTGCCCAGATGCCCCTCAATAATCTTTCCGTATATTTGATATTCAAAAGTGTCATCCCACTTAACAAATGTAAACTGAAAGGGTCTTGTAGATAAAAGTGCACAAAGAGGTTTCAGCTATGTGGTTTGCATGGGCAGCACACCCACAACATACGTAGATCAACCACAACCTCTTTGCACAGGGTATCTGGCGGATGGAAGTTCTGAGCAATGACTTCTACATTTTTATTAGCACTGCGTGGCCAATAAGAGGATATGGGGCTAAAGTTCTGTTTAACACATCTGCTGTTTGTTTGTGTTGCTCATGAGTGTTTCTACGACACACTAGTCACAATTCTGCTTTCCTCTGGCCTCTTACCAAGGGTCTTGCTGTGCATTGCTAAATCTTCTCAAATCTGCAGACATTATGAATTATTAACATACGTCTCCTTTGGATGTGATGGTTTGTGCATGGATGGATTCTTACTGCTACTGTGAGCTGGTTTCTTTCTGCTGTTCGATTTGGGCTGGACCCTCAGTGCTTTTAGGACAAAATGTAGTTGGATTAATGAAAAAGATGGATGTCCATGATGAAAATTAATAATAATAATAATAATAAATAAATAAAATGATTTTAAAACATAATGTTTGAGTTCATGTTGGGTTCAAATAATTTTGAACAACATTGTGTTAATTGAAAATTACAACTTTTTCAGCCAAAAAAATATTTGTTTGAATGACTCATTAATGATTAAATAAATAGTTTACAACATAAAAAGTATTTTTAAAAATGATCTATTGGCATGAATATCATGAAGTTTTCTTAGGGTTATAACTTGCCATCTCATGAATAGGTCAAATGAATCTTAAGAGACTGAATTAAATAATTAAATAATTTTAATTCATAAAATTATTGTAATTCAGAAATTTAATACAAATTCTTTACAGAAGAGTCTCATTCAAGACATTGTCTATATGTAGTGCATTTTTTATGTATTTCTCAATGGATTACAGAAATCTTGGCATCATGTCATTGACCTGGTTACTGTATACATTGAACTAAATGTTTGAAATCATAATTATAGCCATCTTGTAATACTGGGAACAGTTTGATTGAGCTGTGTTTTTTGTCCTTTACAGACAGCAAGCCCTGTTCAATGTGCTGGCAGCGTATTCAGTCTACAACACGGTAAGAGACTGACGGAGTTTGAATGTTTGTGTGTAAATGTGTTATGCAACTCAGAACAGCATGTGCTGGATGAACCAGAGCAGAGGGAAAGAAGTTCGGTGTCCCACCCTGTCAACACAGACACACACACACACACAGACAATTACTGTGCTAATGGCGACTTCCCATCGACTTCTATTGTTCTTACGTTAAGCTAAATATAATGGCTATAGACCCTAACCCGAAAATAAAGCTTGTATTTGCATCAGTGAATAAAGACATGGCTACATGCCAATTTGAATACCATCCGTACTGTATAAAATGCAAGATTTGGAGAATTGTGTTCCAAATGGTAGCATGTTGAAAATAGTAGGTACTATAAACCCGAATGATAGACTGTGCATGTGTGGTTTTTGGGTTAAATTGCCCATAATCCCTTTTGTTTGTAAATGTATGTGCTTAAAAGTTAATAATGGAATACACTTAAAGCTGGAATGCATAACGTGTCTTTTAAAATCAGATTTTAAAACACTAGGCATCATACACTTGCCACCTTTGTAAATGATTACAGAGAAAATCTGGGCATTATACACTAAACGACTGGATCTTTTACACAGTACCAAACATTGTCTTTCCAAACGCCGCAAACTCATGCAGAAACATGCCCCTCATTGCTAGGAGACAAATAAAAAAAATGTGTGTTCTAAAACCAGTTCTAAAACAAGTTTGATATCCTTCAACTGGATGGAATCATAGTCTGAAAAGTCTGCGCCAGTTATACACTACTGATTTTTTGTGAAATTGATGACCTCTGACTGTACAAAATCTGCAGACTGGCTCTGACTTTCGGAAACTCAAAAAAATTTTTTTATCTAAAATCAGTTAACAAACCAGTTTGACTTGGCTGGAAGACCAGCTAGCAAGTCAAATTTTCTGTGGAGAACTATATTTGCATGGTGTGTGGAGTTGCTGCCTATATAGCAAATCATGACTTATGAGGTTTCATGACTTAAAGGGATAGTTCACCCAAAAATGAATAATTACCCCATGATTTACTCACCCTCAAGTCAACCTAGGTGTATATGACTTTCTTCTTTCAGACAAATATGGGTGACCAGGGTCTTAAGACTTTAACAAAGGCCATCTGTCTGGTGCTAATTGGATGATATGCAACTTTATTTATTGGGTACTTACTGGGAATTGACCCTAAACATAGATGATACAGAGGATGGACAAAGACAAATGGAAGAAATCTTTTTTACATGATGTTTTGACGTTTGACAAAACTGCTGGGACAAGAAATGCACATAAATTTCATTGTTTGTAAAAATGAGGAGTGTGTCAGTCTCAAAGAGACGGGAAATGGTACCATGTTCCTTTTCCTTCCCGATGTTGCCAGTAGAAAGTGGGTCAACTGGGCAAGAGGAGGGTGACTCGGGACGCATGGGACGAGGCGGGGGGTAGAGTTGGAGTGAGCAAGAGAAGTGGAGAGAACAAGAAACAGGAGACTTTGAATTTTACCACTTTCCTTTTCTGTGTCAAGTTAAAGTACTACAAAGTTATTGTTTTGTAATTGGTTAAATTAGCATTTAATCCTTAGGTCATTCTCTATGTCTGAATGTTGAGTAAAGTTTGTGACAAAGTGTACTAAGTCTATCTGGTTATGTGTAGGAAGTGAGCTACTGTCAGGGCATGAGTCAGATCGCTGCCATTCTGCTCATGTACATGAATGAGGAAGATGCATTCTGGGCCTTATCACAGCTACTGACCAATCAGAAACATGCCATGCATGGTGAGTGTCATGCTAAGTCTCTCTATAGATATCTTTGTTTTTGTAGTACACTCTGTAATTGGTGATACATATCTGTGTCTTCCTCTGTGGTTTCTTAAAGGCTTCTTCATCCCAGGGTTTCCCAAACTCCAGCGTTTTCAGGTTCATCATGACAAAATACTGTCTAAACTCCTTCCCAAAATCAGGAAACACTTGGTGAGATTTCTTATTTTAACCTCGGTTTGCTTGGCTTTAACAACATATAAACACTTTCTCAGTTTTGTCAAATGTTTTCCTAAACCCAGGATAAGGAACAGATGTCCACTGGTATCTACACAACCAAATGGTTCCTTCAGTGTTTTATTGACAGGGTGAGGCACGATTTAAATTTTCAACTTGTTACAACATTTTCACCGTGTTTAGGTCTCAGTTATGGAGCTGAAACTTTCAATAAATCACAATGAAACCTAAAACATGTCACAAAAATTCACTTTGTCTTGTATGAATATAAGAGGCAGGTCTGTCTGAACTGGTATTCCAGTCTCTGACAAAAATCTCCACAAAATATTTATACAATGTGACCTCAACAAATCGATTTGATGGATCTAAGTATGCTCAGGAAAAAAAAAAAGTTCTAAAATTGTACCTTTAGGGGTACAACTGCTTGTCACTGGGGCAGTACCCTTAAAGGGACATCTTTGTACCTTATTTACCCCTAAAAGGTTAGTAGTAGTACTGTAAGGGTACATATTACTACTCTAAAAGGTACTACTATGGACCTTTTAGGTGTAGATAAATGGTCTTCTTTACTACCCTATCGGTGGCCTTGCCTGGACAGGACATCATTTTTTACCAGCCGAGTCAAAATACTCCAAATTCTGCAACTCAGTAAGGAGAATTACATCATTCACATACAGGAAGTTTTTGTGTGAAAAAGACTGGAAACATCATCTGCTTAAAGTTTTATATGGTTGGGCTGAACCCTTTAGAGAATCCTGTGTCAATGTTTTATTCATGTTGGAGCACTGCTTAGCTGGTTGATGACTCGAGTCTGTTGTGTTTCTGCTGTATAGACACCCTTCACACTCACCCTGCGTCTTTGGGACATCTACATATTAGAGGGAGAAAAAGTTCTAACCGGCATGGCCTATACTCTCCTCAAATTGCACAAAAGTAAGAATCCAACTCTGGTGGATTTCTGTAGAACCACATGAGCTATCACCATGTCCTTGTGTACAACATAGAACTATATAGTGGTTAAAGATCGGGTTACCAAAAGTTTGTAGGTACAAATCCCATATGGGGTGATTCATTATTGCACCCTTGAGCAAGAAACTTGACTTAGGGTTGGTTACTCCAGATACACTCACTGGATCAAGTGTATTGTCAGTCATTTTGGATAAAAGCATCAACTAAGAGACTATTTAGAATATAGTTTCTGCTGAATGAATGTTAAAATAATGTTTAGTCTGGGCAAAAGAGTTGTGGTTGTAGTACTAAACGAGCTGCCTAGAGTTTCTTTCAACCGATAGTTCTTTAATGTTGCTGTTTGGGTAGTGTAGAAGTGTTTAATTAGAAGCTTATAAAGTCTAAAGTCTCATTCTTTTCCTGTCAGAGCATCTTCTGAAGATGTCTCTGGAGGACCTGAGGGAGTTTCTGCAGGAGCGTATTGCTTCCTCCTCCACTATGAGCGACGATGCCGTTATTGAGCAGCTACAGTCGTCTATGACAGAACTCCGCAGGATGAAGCTCGACCTCCCTCCTCCAGGTAAAATACAAATTGTGTTTTTTGTAAATGAGAACATTCTGAGCAAATACCAGAGAGAATAATTAAGGAAGCCTTGTTCCCAAAAAGCTGGATGTCTTTGGAGTCTGTAAAGTGTACATTCTTAAAAATAAAGGTTCCAGTTAGAGAAGCTTCCACAAAGCACTTTTTATGGTGTAGATGTTTAGAAAACCATTTGTACAGGTGCTTTAAAGAAGTTGGAAGCTCTTACTAACCTATAATGTAACATCAAGACCCATATGACCAACTCGACAACAAAAATGGTCTTTGATTAAAAGAGGGTTTTTTGCTGAACCTAAGGAACCTTGGAAGAAACTTTCTTCTAAAGAGTGTCCTGTGGTTTTATGCAATTCTAGACTGTTACAACAACTGTCTTTTCTGGGTTTGACTTGTAGCCAAGGGAGATGAGTTCCCAAAGATACCCCTGGGTGAGGAGCGTCCAATAGTACTGCTTCCAGTAATCAAGACCGAGTGTGTACCCTTACCGCCATCAGCACACAACAATCAAACCTCAACCAAGCTTCAGGCGAAAGACACCACCACCCACAAGCAGAGCAGCGAAAAACACATCCCTACCATTACCTCATCTTCCCCTCTTTCAAAGCTCACCCACTCAACTTCAAACTCTTCGCTGTCACAAACTTCACCTGAAGAACCAGGGATCACGGTGAAGAATGAAGACAGTGCACCTGTACAAAGACCAGATCATCTACTACACCCAAAACCTGCACCATTTTCAGCAGAGACTCTTTCGTTGAAGAATGAATGTGTTAGTAGACCCCTATCAGCGGTGTCTGAAGATTGGCCTCCTCCGTACCAGTCACCCATAACAGATTCTTCCAGTATCAACTCTTTGAATCTCCCAGAATTACCTCCTCCACCTCTTCCCTGTACTGATGAAGGGGTCGAGCTTTCACCTCTAGAAGAGGATGTCCCATTTTGCCTTCCTCCACCACCAATTGCCCAACCTTTGGATCTCATCTTAGAAGATCCTTCTTCATCACCTTCCTCGTATAGATCCCATCGGCAGCTAAGCAAGTTTCCGGTCAACCTGTATGTCCCGCCATCATCAGGTGACCGGAGACCTTCCAACACCTCGCATTACGACAACCTCTCAGAAGAGGAGGATCTGTCTGTGGAGAGGCTGTTGGAGATGGCGGCCACATTGCCGCAAAACCCAAACTTGGGTCTCATGAACACCACCCTTCCCCTTCCTCCAGATGATGCTGTGTCTCTTCCTCTACCGCCCCCATCTATGTTCTTCTACACGCCCGACTCTTCACCACTCCCTCCACCTCTTCCATGCATTGAGGCGGCAAAGAGTTGGGTGACTCCAGACTGCATTTTTCCCCAACCACCAATTGACTTCGCAGATAAACCCATCCTCGTATCTTCAGTCCCGTGCAGTCAGGTGGATTTAAACCAGACTGAACAAGATAGGGGTCAGTCACAGCTCCCAGGACTACCGCCCAAAAAATCACGACCCACAATGCTCTCTCCTGTACACTCTGATTCAGACTTCTACCGAATGCATGTTCCAAGTCATTAGTTGCTGGAATCACACTTATACGGCAAGTACTGTTGTTAGTGTGAACTGAAGGCGTGTTTCCATCGTTTGGACTTTTGTGCTTTTATATTAACTTTTTTTTTTACCATTTAGATGTTGCAATTATTTTCTTATGTTGCAATGTGTGTTACATTTGGCAGATCTAAACAGGATGTTAGAATGTGTGTGTTTTATCATACAAATTTGTTGTAACGAAATCCCCTTTTCATCTAGTTGTAGCAGTTATCAGAATCACCTTTTAGTTAGTTGAGCAACCAGTTTTCCAGGGAGTCATCATGTGGTTTGAAGTGATATCTTTAATCGGTGTAGTAATTGAGATGTACTGATATTTCCACTGGTCATCACAGAAAATGTGACAGGCAACATTATTTTGTTTGTGACTATTTATATGTTGTTTTCTGGGAGATATTATGTTCCTTGTCAGATCTATACTGTCAGATCAGTACTATAGTGGGACTTGTTTTCATCTTGATGAAAGGCAAAAAATTAGATCAGTTATTGTCATTATTTTTTTGTCTTGTTTTGTTGGTTGGTTTTATATCTTGGTGCAGTTGTGTTGTTTTTGTTTCTTTTTAAACTTTGGTTATATTAAGAAAATGCATCTAAAGGATGCACATCAACATTAAATATGAAGATGTTTTGGAAATGTAAACAAGGATCTTAAGACACTGGCATAAGTTCCCTGGTTACATTGAAAGGACATTTTTCAGCGGTCTTAGATTTGCTCAAAAAGGAAATTCCTTCATCAAACCTTAATGCTGTGTACTGCCCTATAGCGCCATCTTGTGGAGGATTATAGCATAACTTGGTAAAAAATTATTTACTGGGAAATACAGTCGCCACACTGAATGTTAAAATGAAGAAACTGTATATTCAAGGTCATTGTATAGCTTTATTGTGTAATTGTAAATAGAACAGGTTTGATTTGCACTTTGTTGTTTGTAGTAAGAGCTTATGATATTTAATTGCGTTTATATTATTATTCTCAGGTTAAATGGTCTTAATGTTCAGTTTGTGTTGAAATTTTTAAACCCAGTTTAAAGTTTGACCTTTTTAAACTCTGTGCTCATTTGACTTTCTTATTTGATTAACAACTAAAAAAAAAACTTGTGTTTTCCTCGCAACAATGAGACTACGTAAAGTGGAGTGTTTATTTTAATATTTACATTATTGCTGTGTAAATCAATTCTGATTTCACATTCAGAGGTACATGGTACAAGCACAACATGATAAAATATAACACAAGGGTCAGGTATTTCTGTATAAATACACATTCACTTGCAGGAACCCATGCCCTTTAATTGATTTAAAAGCAAACCTACATGACAGATCTGCCTGATTGGTAACTGCATTTAACAAGCACTTGAAGCCATTCATTTTACCTTTCTACCATAATTGAACCTTCATAAAGGCACCATTGTTGCATTATTCTCAGAGGTAACCAGTTACGACAAACAGGATTGCATATACATAGTTTGTATTGTAAACAAGTGCAGTGATTTTATGCATAATGCTTCACAGGAAGCCAAGATAAAGTCTTCAGTGCTATTGCTGTCAGATGGATGACTTTCACTTCACAGTGGCTGCTGTGAGAATATAAGATAAGCAAGTATTGCAGGAAGGACTAAACCGTATCTTTACCTTCCGTGAGAAATTTCCTTGAGCTCACCCCTCATTAAATCTGAAAGTGTGTTTCAAAGCTGCAGTTGTAACAGAGCCTGCAGAGAAAATGTACCTCTTGTAGAGGTGATGCTGTTTCATCCAGTACCTGAGTTACAATCTCAGCTGCATGAAGAGGTTGACCTGACACGCCACACTCTCCCTCAGCTTCATTTCATCTTCTGAACCCAGAGCCACTCCTGGTAATCGGGTAGAGCCTGTTTCCCCGAGGATGCAAGGCAAGCTGAGGAACACTTTGGAACCGATTCCACCCCAACCCTGAAAGAATTGGAGGCTTGCATTTACATGATCTCAAAATTAACAGACACCGATTAAAAGATGCTAAAATGTTTGTTTTCACAGCCACTTTATCATTTTTCTGTAAGATACATTCATGTGGCTCCTACAGTATATATTATAGTTGACATATAGTTGACTTAATTTTGACAATCTAGACACAAAATTTACATTTCTAAACACTTCCAAAAGTTAGTTGCATGTTAATGCTTTAAAACAGTTGTCCTTAACCTTTTGGCTTGAAGGCCCCCTATTGCCCAACATAATATTAAAAGATCCCCTCATATAAGCTATAATATTTCCTCCAGTTTGTTCTGCTGTAAATACGACAGCTGCTTGTTTTCAAACTTTATTAACACAAACTACGAATGTAAACACATTAAATTAATTCACCTTAATTCGTTTTGTGATTCCAGAATTTAAGAACTGTATGTTCTTTAATAAAACAATAAATTATATTAATAATAAAATGTTGCAATGTTGTTCTTTTTAAAAAGAAATCCAGTTTAGACATCGATTTTTTTAAGCATTCTAAGCAATTTCAAGTGCTTGTTTTAATCTAAATCAATTTAAATCATTTTAATTCATCCTGCAGTCCTGACCACAAACTTACTGAATGCATATTATTCTACAAGGTAGGCAACTAACCTCAGCCAGTGTCGTGACAGAGTGTATCTTCTTTTTGCCCGTTACAATGCTGTGAGTGATGTCAGCAATGGACAACCCGACTGACCATGACCTCTGACCTCTGCCTTTGAGCATCTCTAATGCCCTGAGAACATATCAAACAGTTCACGCTTCATCATGCAGTAACAAACCATCAATTAACAATTCTTTAAAATTCTACTGGAAATTATATGAAAAATATCTGGATGCTGATATTTTTAACCCATACCTGTCCATTAAGGGTTTGGTGGAGTTGGACACTGGGGTTAACGCTTGTAGATGGTCAGTTCCTGGCCCCATATTACCCCACAATGCCACTGATACACAACCAGAGAGAGCTGTCACATTAATTATTTAAAACCAGACACCGACCTCAGAACATTACTGCGCATCCGAGGTGTTACTATGACCATGACGCAAATTGTTAGCAATTTAACAACTGTTACAGCAGAAACAGGTCCACATTTGTGTAGCAGTGTTTATCTAGAATAATTATCCACTTTTCAATTCTACGAATCCTCTTTCAGGGTTTATGCACGTCGCCTTATGAAGACTTTTTTAAAGACCAATTAAGAAAATATTAGGAATAAATTGAAGCAAGAACAATAGATCACTATGTTCTCTAAATGTAGATGTCTAAGGAGAACACAATGAATTGTATTAGCAACACTTCAAAGTTTGAAAATACATCTTCCAACCGTACTTTTACTGTACCTTCTGATCACACTGTACAAAAGTTGTGTTATTTCTCGCTATTTTTGTTTTGTTTTTCCAGTGCAAATGCTTAAAAATTCTTAAATCAAGGTGAATGCAAAGATGACATGATAAGAAGTTTTGTTTTCTGGGAAATTTGTCAAAATGAAGTGATTTTATGATGAAAAAAGGACAAATATCTTTTTTGATGAAAATTTCTGTTTCTTCTTGTTTTAAACAGACTCATTTTGATATACTTGTAGATGGTCAGTTCCTGGCCCCATATTACCCCACAATGCCACTGATACACAACCAGAGAGAGCTGTCACATTAATTATTTAAAACCAGACACCGACCTCAGAACATTACTGCGCATCCGAGGTGTTAATATGACCATGACTCAAATTGTTAGCAATTTAACAACTGTTACAGCAGAAACAGGTCCACATTTGTGTAGCAGTGTTTATCTAGAATAATTATCCACTTTTCAATTCTACGAATCCTCTTTCAGGGTTTATGCACGTCGCCTTATGAAGACTTTTTTAAAGACCAATTAAGAAAATATTAGGAATAAATTGAAGCAAGAACAATAGATCACTATGTTCTCTAAATGTAGATGTCTAAGGAGAACACAATGAATTGTATTAGCAACACTTCAAAGTTTGAAAATACATCTTCCAACCGTACTTTTACTGTACCTTCTGATCACACTGTACAAAAGTTGTGTTATTTCTCGCTATTTTTGTTTTGTTTTTCCAGTGCAAATGCTTAAAAATTCTTAAATCAAGGTGAATGCAAAGATGACATGATAAGAAGTTTTGTTTTCTGGGAAATTTGTCAAAATGAAGTGATTTTATGATGAAAAAAGGACAAATATCTTGGCTCAGAAAATTTCTGTTTCTTCTTGTTTTAAACAGACTCATTTTGATATACTTCTCAGAAAGCAAGACTTTGTATCTTCAGTTTGCGTCTCAAATGAATTTATTTAGATTTAAGGATGTTTTGATATTTGTATTGGAAAACAAGACAAAAATAATAACATTTAATGCCATGAATTTAAGACTTTCTGCTCCTATTTTAAGAACTTTTAAAGGGATAGTTCACTCAAAAATGACAATTACCCCATGATTTACTCACCCTCAAGTCATCCTAGGTGTATATGATTTTCTTCTTTCAGACGAATACAATCAGTTATATTCAAAAATGTCCTGACTCTTCCAAGCTTTATAATGGCAGTGAATGGGTGTTGAGATTTTGAAGCCCAAAAAAGTGCATCCATCCATCATAAAAAGTGCTCCACACGGCTCCAAGGGGTTAATAAAGGCCTTCTGAAGCGAAGCGTTTGTGTAAGAAAAATATCCATATTTAAAACTATTTAAGCCATAATCTCTAGCTTCCACTAACTATCGTACGCATGTTCACGAGAGAGTGACGTCCAGCGGATGACGTATGATGTAGGCGTAGCATAAACTCCGGTGAGAATATGCTAGTGTCGCGAGAACAAAGTTTTGTTTACAGCAAAGGAAAACCAGTCTCCTCTGGGCTTATATCGAAATCCTCCAACATTTTTCTTTACAAATCCTCATTTTGTACTTCTAATTCGTGACCGGAGTTTTGTTTTGCTCTCTCATCTGCACTTCTGCGTTAGTCACTTCTCACCGATCCTTACGCTATGCCTACATCATACGTCATCCGCTGGATGCCACTCTCTCGTGAACGCGTGTACGATAGTTAGTGGAAGCTAGAGATTATGGCTTAAATAGTTTTAAATATGGATATATTTCTTACAAAAATGCATCACTTCGCTTCAGAAGGCCTTTATTAACCCAACGGAGCCGTGTGGAGCACTTTTTATGATGGATGGACGCACTTTTTTGGGCTTCAAAATCTCGACCCCCATTCACTGCCATTATAAAGCTTGGAAGAGTCAGGACATTTTTGAATATAACTGATTGTATTCGTCTGAAAGAAGAAAATCATATACACCTAGGATGACTTGAGGGT